CCCTAGCCGCTTGAGCCACAGGCGCCGAGCCACTACACTAAAACTTGACACATGCTAGTTTCTTTAGAGTTGGTTGCAATGTGGAACTTGAAACCATATCAATGACATTTTTGTACTATGTTAAAATCCATTGGTCTGTGGTCACACCTTGATTGAATATTTTAACCTTACATAATTAAGTAACATCATGCATTGGTCATTTGGAAAGAGCTGATTCACTGAGCTATGCAGATCTTCCAAATGTGGACACATTTCATTAAATATTATTTTAAAAATCTTATTCCTTGAATATCATGATAGACTTCAACAGAAAAGTCTTTAAGTTTTAAATTTTGGGAAACTATGAAACACAACGTGGCAAATACAAGTTTTATAAAATTCAGTGATACAAAGCTCAAAATGAATTGCTCACAATAAACACTGTCATATTTTTCTAAAGTGACAGATTCACTTTGTTCCTTTTTGTGAGAAAGATTGCCATATACCCAAGTCTGAAAACCATAGTTTGTTGGTCCTTCTCTCTAGTAAATGTGATGTTCCATGAAAGAGTAGCTAGTTCAACTTGCAACTCAAAGAATCGCTTTCTTCAAAAAGACCATCATACTTTGGTATGCAACAGAAGTGCTTTATGCATACTCCCCAGCTTCTCAGACAAATATTGGAGAGACAATTTACTCAAGGATTAAGATTTTTTTTTTTTGAGACAGAGCCTCAAGCTGTTGCCTTGGGTATCACAGCTTACAGCAACCTCCAACTCCTGGGCTCAAGCGAGTCTCCTGCCTCTGCCTCTCAAGTAGCTGGGACTACAGGTACCTGCTACAACACCTGGCTATTTTTTGGTTGCAGCCATCATTGTTGTTTGGCGGGCCTGGGCTGGATTCGAACCCGCCAGCTCAGGTGTATGTGGCTGGCGCCTTAGCCACTTGAGCCACAGGCACCGAGCCAAGGATTAAGTTTTAATATAATTAATAAATTTTTACTACTTCATCAAGGACATTCTTAAATGTAAAGTTGGTATTTTTTCTTAAATTGCTAGTACATGGCAGTGAAGAATACAATGACTGTACAGTTTGAAACCATTGCCTTGAA